CCGGACTGTTCCTTTCCTAGCTCATCCCAGTTTGGACACTGTAGATACGTTCCCACCACCGCATACTACGTTCCCGTGATCGCCATGCCCTTGCCTTTTCTTTCTCGCCCTTTGTTCTCTCTTTGTCATCTTCACTGCCTCGCTCTTGCGCCTTGTCCTTGGTTGCTAAGCAGCCCCTCTAGTATATAAGGACCCCTTAGGCGCTCCCTAGTCCCCATCTCGACCTCTTGGTCATTGGGACTAGGTGAGTGGCCATAGTGTTGTATTTCCCTTCGAGTGCTAATGTATAACTTGGTCATTGGGACTAGTCTGTCGCTGTCTGCGTGAAGACTAGCTTTCGTAGGTCTCGTGCCTTCGTGCCGACCTCCGCTCTGCCCTCGTCGAGTTTTCTGTCACGTTTATCCCTCTCCCTCTCTCTTTCCCCTTTTGGCTCCTTGCCGCTCGCCTACGGGGTCATCGCCGAACGTCGACCCGAGTCTACGCGCCTAGTCGCCGCGACAGCCGCATCAGAGCTCGCGGTATGGGCCAACCTCTTCTCCGGGAAGTGGGGGGCACGGCTCGTCCGCGAGTGGACCCAGGCATGGGTGAGGACAAGGACGCTGCCTGAGTCCGAGCGCGGGAGGCATACCAAGGTCGTGTCGCTTCTGAGCGATCCCACGGTGCGCGCGGCGGTACACACTTATCTTCGCTCCGAAAAATGGAGCCAGAACCTATTGAAGCTGCAAAAAATGTTAAACAACGAGCTCAGCTCAGAAGAAGCCCGCTGTCGCGGCGACTAGGCGCGTAGACTCGGGTCGACGTTCAGCGACGACCTCGTAGGCGAGTGGCAAGGAGCCGAAAGGGGAAAAAGGGAGATAAAGAGGGATAAACGTAGCAAGAAACTCGACAAGGGCAGAGCGGAGGTCGGCACAAGGGCACGAGACCTGCAAAAGCTAGTCTTCACGCAGACAGCGACAGACTAGTCCCAATGACCAAGTTATACATTAGCAAACGAAGGGAGATACAACGCTATGGCCACTCACCTAGTCCCAATGACCAAGAGGTCGAGATGGGGACTAGGGAGCGCCTAAGGGGGTCCTTATATACTCGAGGGGCTGCTTAGCAACCAAAGACAAGGCGCGAGAGCGAGGCAGTGAAGATGACAAAGGGAGAACAAAGGGCGGGAAGAAAAAGGCAAAGGCATGGCGATTACGGGAACGTAGCATGCAGGTGTGGGAACGTATCTACAGTGTCCAAACTGGGATGGGCTGAGAAAGGAAATGGTCCGAAAATGGAAGGTGGGCGTCAAGGGGAGGGGAATGGGCGGCAAAAAGGGGCATCTGTCCAACGTCCGTGACACCCGCAAGTATCGCCGTGTCCTGGAGTCTGAAGAGATGCCCGATGGCTTGAAGAAATTTGTTGCGTCCAAAATTCTCCCTCGATACCACCTGAAACCTGGTCGCATGGGACTTTCCTGCTCGTCCATGCGCCGTCTCCTCATCAGTGAGGGCTTCACTTGGTCTGAACATCGGAAGGCCATCTATTATGATGGACACGAGCGACCTGATGTTGTGAAGGACCGCAACAACCGATTCCTCCCAGCTGTCCAAGCTATCTGAAAATATCTTATTCGGTACCAAGTTGGCGCGGTTGACACGGAGGTTGAAGGCATTGCTCTGAATCAATATGTTCAACCTCGCCTTGTCCTCGTGGCCCATGATGAAATGACTGCCCAGGCTCATGATGGCAAGCAGTATAGTTGGCTACTGCATGGCGAGTCCTTTTTGAAGAAAAAGGGACCTGGCCGCGGGTTACACCAGAGTGATTTCATCTGCTCAACGGTCGGCTGGCTTGCTAATGCCAGTGTCACACTGGAATACGGCAAGAATCATGATGGGTTCTGGAACGGTGAAATGTTTTGTAAACAGGTAAGGCATGAATTATCATTTCAGTGCACAGTGCCACATCACTGACAACCATGATTCTGAAAGCTTATCGAGAAGTTCTTTCCGGCATTCGAAGCAGCTCATGGACCGGGTCATATTGCTGTCATTTTTGTCGACAACTCCCAGGGCCACTCATGTTATGCGCCTGATGCCCTGCGTGCATCAAAAATGAATCTCAATCCGGGAGGTGTACAGCCATGTATGCGAGATGGCTGGTATGACCGGGATGGTCGGAGGGTCACACAGACCATGGTCTTTCCAGCAGATCATCCAGACCACCCAAACCAGCCAAAGGGGATAAAGGCTGTCCTCATGGAGCGTGGACTCTGGCGTGCAAGACTCCTGATGAAGTGCAAGGGCACTTGCCTTGATGATTCAGAGGATTGCTGCGCTACTCGAATTTTGGAACGGCAGCCTGATTTTGCAGCTCAAAAGTCTCGTGTCCAAGAAATTATCGAGACAGCAGGTACATTACATACAGACCTTTCCCTATAAATTCACTTACTCACTTTGCAGGCCATATATGCATATTCCTGCCTAAATTCCATTGCGAAATCAACTTTATCGAGTACTTCTGGGGTGCGGTGAAACATTACCTCCGAGAACACTGCGATTACACCTTCGACACTCTCCGGGAGAACATGCCGAAAGCCTTGTGGTCTGTTTCAGTGGAACTGATCCGGAAATGGGAACATTGTGCATGGAGATTCATTGACGCATACACTGAGGGTCTGGGAGCTCATGAGGCGCAGAAGAAAGTTAAGGAGTTCAGTTCCCGTAGGTATAAGTCTCACCGTCGTGTACCGGAACAGCTGGCGCAAGCAATGGACATTGCATAATATTATGTAATACAGTATAATACTATATTAGGAATTAAGCGCTCAAGTCACATAATCTACCCGACTTGGGAGGGGTCATCTGGGCCAACATTGGTCCAATTGACAAACCCTTACAGTGAATATGTTCCCTATGGGTAATACTTGCAAATGACAGGTTATCAGATATTTTGACTGTAATGTGAGGGAGCAGTAGGACGACGGGGAGACCGGCGCTTACCATGTACAAAATTGGTGGTGTTTAGTTGAACCGCACCATAGGAGGCTGATTTTCAGAAGCCGTAGTCAAGGTATGAACGAAGCAGCACTACAGTGCTTTGCAAAAAAGATTGCAGTGCAAAGCGCGCAAATTCTGTTTGCTCCTGTTTGGTCACTCGTCGGCTACGGCAAGGATTTCTGTTTCGGGAACCGGACGCTCATGGGGACTCCGTCCGTAAAAGCCGTGCTTGAGTCCGTGTCCGCTTTCCGACTGCAAAAATGCACGAGGATATTCTTTTCCTCCGAATGACGACCTTCTGAATATATCTGGTAGGTTTGTGGCTGGAAAATCGACCATGCTGCAAAGAGGCTTCCGGCATTGCAGGTGCTTCTCCGGGTGGGCAAATAGGGGCAAACAGGATTTTGCGCGCTTCGCACTGCAATCTTTTTTGCAAAGCACTGTAAGTGGACGAAAGGTGTCCCCTGGTTAGGATGTCTCTATCCGCAGTTCCCACGGTGTCCGATGGGCTAAGGGACGAGTTCAAAGTCTCCCGTTGCCGTACAATGCCGGCTTGACCAATAACCATACGTCGAACAACATCTGTGCAAACAGAGTATATCGCATAGGGAGCGGAGCGGAGATTGCCACTCTCGAGTCATACATGCTTACACGGAACGAAAATCCATGTCAGGTCAAGCACCTCTCCAGGCAAAGCATCTAGCGACGTTGTCAATAGATGCATAATTGACTTGCAAGCTGTTATCCTTCAGTACTTGAATTTATGGCTAGAGACCTCCATGGCCCGTCAGTACTATAGCTGAGGTGCTTGGGCTCGCAGAAAAGGCTAGGACACCGGTTTTCAGAGACTGCAGTCAACGTATGTGAGCGAGGAGGCAGGCATACCATTGGTCAAGGGTCACGATCAAGAACTGCCGTACCAGCTTGACCAATGACCAATAACCATACGTGTACGTCTCAGCCTCTTCTCATGTACTCAAAGCTCATGGGGTCTTCTATGTCGTTATAGGCCAACTTTGTGAGATCCGACTCCTGTGATGTCGACATTCCACATTAATGGTGTCACGATCATCCCAAGACGAAGGCGGAGGCGACTCCGAGGAGGCATACAATCTCCAAGACAATCGTGCTCATATTGTGATTCTCGAGGTAATTCCTTTTTAGAGACTACAGCAACTAGACCAAAAGCTGAAGAGGCGCTCATCCCATGGCTCCTTCGCGCGATGGCTTTAAAATGTCACAGAGGGACCTGCCATGCCAGCACCCGCCGCCCCACGGGCGTCGGAGTACGAGCCCGCTCCTTGCTCTCTCCGGGCCTGCTCAAGAACGATGAACGATAGCAATATCGCGTTGAGGCTCAGAGCTGTATCTGATCTGACGTGCAGGCTCATCCTCCGTGGTTTCCCAAGGAAGCCTCCGCCTGTGCGCGCGCTGCGCACCTGCGCCACGGTCTCCTGCGTCTCAGGGTCAATGAGCTACGCAGACGTTTCATGGTGAGTGCGGAGTCGAGGCGGTGATATACGGTAGCGCTTACTCTGAGTGACGTTGAGCCCCAATTCGTCACCTGTTTCCAGTGGTACTGCGAGCCGTCGGGTGCAACCAATAGTCGAGTTCTGCAGGGGGTGGGTCCTGAGGGATGACGACCAGGGCAGATGAGTACGAGACGCGCACCTGGAGAGTGCGCTCTTTTTTGGCAGCCAGTCAGAGAGCATATGCATCTTGTCATGGTATACAATCCTATCCTGCCCTTGTTGATATGCATTCTCCCATAAGCCGACGACCCGGCCGTCTAGGTTCCTGAGTGTTGAACTTGGACTTATCCGGTCCGGACTACACGAGGCTATGCGTCTCCTAGCGCTTAGCTGTAGTCGCTTATGTAGTATGTTACCATATTTGGGACTCTCTGCTCGTGTACTATAGCTATGTTTCCGGACTCTTCTGGTACTGTCTAGGACAATCCGTACTACTCCAGAACGGTCTAGACAGGTCTATGCCTTACTCATCTCTTACTCATCCTATGGTGCGATACGTCGCAATTCTTTCACCATCGTATTATTCATCGCACTATGGTACATGTGACTAACCACTCTTCGATTAGTCATGGACACTTCTCTGTAGTATATAAGGACTTCAGATTGCGTCCTCCCTCTTCAGTCTTTCCTTACTGACTGAAGAGTGAGTACTTCATTACCTTTACCTCTAACTTGTAGTTACTTACTTAACCTTTGTAGTCTTGCTTCGACTCTAGGTACAGTTGG